GATTTTCTTATTTATTTCACAATTTCAGACTTTACCCAGTTTTTGCCTTGATCTGTAAATACAATTTTTTACCCGGTGTTTTGATTGATAAATGAGGATCAAAAAATGGAACGAAGGAAAAAGGAGTGAAAAACCAGTTGAAAAAAAGGGGAAAACTGGGAATTGATCTCAATTGACACTGCTTCCAATGATCAGAAGAATCAAAAAACATTGTGCAATACCAAGGAGCGGGGTAACAAGGTTTCCCAGAACAAGTAAAACCACAAACAAGAAACCATCAAAAAAAAACACCCCAGATTTACATTCGCAGGGCAGGATGATAAAGGCAACTCCAGAGAAACCTGCTCAATCAACGAACCGATCAGAACCCTGGCCCGACAAAAACACCCCCCCCCCCGCACTTTTCTAACCTCGCTGTATTTTTTTCACTAAATGATTTTTACTGAAGTAGGTTTTTTAAAAACAGAAATTCTATAAAAAAACTCTTATAACAAAAATTAATCTGGCGATTAAGACAAACTGAACTCAATATGACTTAACAATTTTTGACTTAAACAGTTTAAATTCTCTTATTCCGGAAATGAATCAAGTAATGATCAGGATGCTCTGTCGGTTTATAGAACTAAATGCGGTCCTTGTCCGGATGCGGTTTTGTGCGCGACAATGACGCAAGTTTGTCTTCAGGCTCATAGTTTGAATCAATTTGAAGCTAATATGAGTGTTGAGATGATCTGAGCTGGTCACTGGTAATGAACAGGAATACACAATGAGTTCATGCGGAAGAAAACTTTAGTTTAATAAGTACTGGGTAACCTCTAGAAAAAACTCCTTCACTGATTGCAAAAATGGTTGAGTCATCAGTAGAACACAATGGAGTGAGTTTGTTCTCTAGGGGTGACATTTTATGCACTTGTAGTTGTGTCTCATGTCCAGTTTCCACATTCTTCAAGTCTGTCTCGAGGTCTACTTTGTACACATGTGTGTTATCAATCCTATAATCCCTGAGCCATAGATATCCTTCGTGTGGTTGTCCAAATGGTGTCCAAACAAGGGACCATACATTATCCACTCCAGTGAGGATCACATACTTCACATTCGCTGTACTGTCTGCAGAAGAGGAGGGTGAGGACGAAGAAGAACTTGTTTGATTGTGAAGTGATTGTAGTGGCAATGAGACCACTGCCACTTTATTTCCATCAATTCCACAACTGAGAAGGAGAGTGGTCTCATTGACCAACACACAACCACTCAAATACATAAATCCCTTCACTTTAATGTCCAGATGTGACAGAGTGTGGACTCTTCTCACTCTATTTCTGTAAATGGCCACACTATCCCACTTATGATTACCAAACCCACCTCTAACTGCCAATGCGATTGTGTCTCTCTTTGATACCAAGCGCCAAAGTACACTCTCCCCATTGAGCAGTCCTCTTGTGTCCAACTCAGTGTTACTGCTGCCTTTCTTCTTCAGACTGCACTGGTCCAACTCCTCCACTCTCTTCACTTCTCCTTCCTTCTGTGTAACCACTCCATACATAGTGTTGTTTACTTCGTCCATACAAATGTCCAACAACCGATCTTTATTTCCCCTGATCTTGTTCCACTCCATCGTCCTCTTCAGTTCCAACTTGTCATTGGCCTCGTTCACACCAATTACACTAATCACACTTCCTTCTCCCCAGTTAAAACACATCACTTCTCTTGTCTCCCAATTATATACTGCCTTATCACACCAAATTTTCCCATTCCACTTCCCTGTTTTTTTCACTCCAACCAACACTCTCTCCTTCCTCTCGCCCTTCTTTTCTACAGCCCCTCTCCCCACATTCTCTTCCATTCCTACACTTATCCCTCCTTCTGAACTGCCACTTCCAACGTTACTCCACCCATCAGCTTCACTTGGCCTACTATCACTAGTTGACACCCTAATGCCACCCTCTGCAATCAGCTGCCCTTGCCCACCAACCACGGAGCTAGAACTCCAATCATCCTCACGAGTCGCCACTATGTAGCCGAATATGTCTTCAAACGAACGCTCAATTTTACCGAATTGATCAAGTAATTTAGCCTTGAACTTCTGAATATCAGCCATCTGGCATTTCAGTGAATTTCGCACATCAATTGACATCACTTCAATCGCACGCGCTGATTTGCTTCTCAAGACGGATTCCTGTTTCCGCTCAACTGTCCCAATTTGAGCCACAACAGCCTGCCACTCCTGTAAAAATTCACTTAGCTTCTCACAATGCTCTCTGTAATTTGAGATTCGTGACTGGATTCTGTGCTGTGGCTCCAAGTAAACGTTCATGGTTGTGACTCCGTGAGATTTCCAGTCTTTATGATCTTGTTCCCAGCAAACTTGACATATTGCACTGGAGCATGGGTTGCAATAGAATTGAACTGCCTTGCCAGGGTGTTTCTCGCAGCAATTCACAGATGGAGTTTCGGGTCTTTCTGAAACACAGGTTTTTAAAGTAATACCAGGAAAAACACTAACACATGTTTCGTAAAAGAGTGAAAGCGTTTGATCACAACTTGATTTCTAGCTGCTAATCTTGTTGATCTAAATTTTTTTGAGAATCAGTTTTTCTAAACACTTTTAACGGAGTTATTTCTTTTTTTTTTTATTTTTATTGTTTTTTATTTTTTCATTTTTATTTGATGACTTTGTTTTTTTTTAAATCAGTACTGTGTTTAGTTTTTCTCTGTTTGTTTTTTAAAATCATTAAGCACGCTTCCGTGTGTTGAAATTTAAATTTAAAAAAAGTAATGGAAACGAGACAAAACTTGTGATTGCAAAGAAGTTGAAGGTTCATCCATAAAAAGTCATCCAAAAACGTACGTGTTTTTCATAACAAAATTGAAACTTTAGATAGTTACATGTAGCAGGTAAGGGGGAGGGGCGTCATCTGCCGGTGGTGTCCAATGCATTAGGAGTGTTGTTATTTTCCGGTACCCTCAATTATGCATTTAGATAGGGAAAAGATTTCCAATCTATTAGGATTAGGAAAAGCTTTCACGATGTATTAGGATGCAAGGTTTCAGATGTTGAGAGAGTAGATTTTTTTCGGCACTCGAATCTGCCATGTGTTAAGATAGGGTACAGATTTCTCTAAACAATTAGACGGGTAAAAGATTTCCTAGTAATAAGATAGCGTATGGATTCCCTGATGTTTTGAGACACAATGTTTTCATTATCAGGTTAAGAGAATGATAATAAAAACTAATTTGTGCAAAAACCTCAAGTTGGTGTATACTATGAAGAATGAAGGTATTGGACAATGTTTTTTGTTTCATGGTTTGTAAATAGTAAGATTTTATGTATGAAAACTAAGAGATTTTGTTCTGTAAAAACTTCAAAACACGATAAGATTTGATCTTATTTGAGCGATACTTTTTATATGATGTTTTAACTATTTAACGCAACTCTATTACCAGCTTAAATCTACTGAAAATTCAGAAAAAAAATCTTTTTTTTTGGAAACAAAAAAGTACGAAAGAAATCATAATCACAATTTTATCGTAATTAAACCTAAAATCCAAAAAACGGCTTTTATAATTCTGCTACAGAACATAAGTTCATAAAAATTTCTTGGTTTTGTTTTAATTATATCGTCTTGAACGTTTTTCTCTGAAAAAAAAATCATTAAATCAGTTGTTTGACTGTTCTTATGTAGAAACCATATGAAACGTAGTTGCTGATGTTAGGTTGATTGCCATTAGTTCAGCTCTAGGATCTGTGAGTGCTGCAACACGTTCTAGGGAAGAAATAAGATTTTGGATCTCCCTTGAAAAAGTCTTTGTATATCGGTGTAAGTACATCGGTCTCTTGTAAGGAAAGTGTGTTTGTACATCAGTGTTGATTTCCTCGTCAGTTAAAAAAAATTTTTCCAACACTTTACACTCCCATATTTACGTTTTATTGTACTGTAAGTAGTAGATGTTGGCGGTGATCATGGGAGGTGCATGGCGGACCCCATGTATTAAGATACGTTAAAGATTTCCGGTCCGCCATGCTATGTATTAAGATTGGGTATATAGTCTACAAGATATTAGGATAGGGAATACCGATGGTAAGATTTTTTGGTTTGTGTGTTGGTAAGATAAGGGTTAGAAAAACGAAATTTTTTTTGGTTTTTTTTGTGGAAAGGTTTAGTTTTTTTTGCCAAAATCACGGCGCGTGTTTTCTAATTGCGAACAACTAATTGTTAATTACGTGTAGATTGTGCAGTTAAGGTTTTGTATTTAGTTTTTTGGTGCATGATAAGAAAATAGTAAAAGTTTTTGTGCAAAAATTTGAAATTTTTATCAAAAAAAATGAAATTTTTTTCAAAAATTTCCAAAACAGGGTAAGATTCGTTATAATTTGATCTTATAAAAATTTATGAGATACTTTTACTTTCTATCTATCTGAATTTCATCTGAAGCTTGATGAAATTTCGAAAAAAGTCAAGTTTTCGAGAAAAAAAATTAAATTACAAAGAAGGTGTATAAATCACTGCATTGTACTGTAAATTTACTGCCATATTTTACGCTTATAAATAAAAAACTACACAATTACATGAAATTACTTATAAAATTCAAAACATGCACTTCATGAAGATTATTCAAGTTTGTCTGGTAGAATTTAAAAAGAAGAAATGCTGAAAAAATTGCGTAAAATCCATTTAAATTGTCAGTTTTTTGTAGTTTTCTGGGAACCATTTGCCACTATTTTTTTGTTAGTAAAGAATAATTTGTTCTTTTTCGACCCAAAGAATCAGTAAAGTAGTAAGTTTGTTTAAGAGTGCTATCATGATCCAGTGTTCCACTCTATCATTGCTTGGGCTTGAGTTCAGAATTGAAAAAGATTAATTTGTTAGCTGAGGTACTTTATCAGTAGGGTAAGATCCCATGTACATGAACCTGAGTTCAGAATTCTTTCAATTAATTTGCAAAAGTGAAAAATTATCCATCTTTGCAATTGTTAGCTAACTTACACCTAAAACAAAGAAATATATAGTTTGATATTGTAATTTGGGTTGGAAAAAACTAAAGTTATTGACTTACGCGCATGTAGGTATTGAATCAACAAAGTCCCATACGCAAAACTTGTAAACTGGACAAAGGTTATTGAACTCTGGTTTACAGTCTAGGTTGAAGAATTTTGTTTTCAATCAAACAGCATTCTTTGTCTGCTTTTTCTGGAGAATTAGGTCTGAAGAAAAACAAAATAGATAGAACAGAGACAATAACAAGGAAAAGTCCCAAAAAACTGCAAAACTTTTATAGTAGCCTGAAAACTCAAAAAAACTAAGCAATTTCAGCGACTGTTCCGAAATTGTCAAATTGAACATTTGATAGTCTTTCTACCAAGTCTTTCACTTCCGGTACTTGCTCCAAGCGAAACTGGAAAAACATTTCTAATATCAAGCTTTCTTCACTAAGTTTTGGATAATGCAACTGTTCAGCTGCATCCTGTAGTTAAGTCAAGCCAAAAACTAAAATATAGGGATTTTGAAAACCTTCCATAGGAGGAGCTGTGAAATCTTCATTAAACTGCATTGCTTTCATTGTTGTAACATAACGTCGACAAGGAGAAGTTGTATCTAATGAAACAATTGTTCTTCCACCCCGAAAAATTCCAAGCTCTCTTATATGAAATTGCTGATAGCTGAAAGAGTTATCATGAAAAGATCCTGCAACAGCTGAATTTGTATTCGTTGCAACAGCTATTCTTCTTATTGGAGAGTTATTGAGTATATTTTCCTGTTTAAATTGGTTTTGACGAAATGGACTGTTGAAAGTTCTTGCTATAGTTTCCATGTAAATGTATTGAGCAGGTTCTTTTTCTAGATTCCATTGCAAGTATTGATGATTAGGTTCAGCAACTAAAATTTTTCTAGTTAACAATCAACAATTTTCAGACTGACATTTGGGTTATCAAATAGCATATAAAAATTAGCTCTAGCTTTAATTCGAACTTTGGTAATTGGTAGCAACAATTTTTCGCAAGTAAACAAATCAATGGCGAGACTCCCATAGACTGAAAAAGTTATCCCTGTTCCTAAAGAATTTGCTCTATCAGTGAATGAATGCATATCAAATGCATCAGGATATTCTTCAAAACTATATCCATGACAAGCGATTATTCCTTTATTACTCACTGCTGACGAGTTGAATTCGTTCGATATTTGTGCCTTATGAGGATATAAACCATTGGCATTGTAAACCATTGTATTGTTAAAATAAACTTCACAGTTGGCGAACAGAGAATGTAATAGATTGCTTACATCAGTTAAGTAAGTTTGTGGTTCCTCATCTGAATCTTCCTCCAATTTTCCTTTAGGTTCGGCTTTAACTTTTCTGAAAGGATTAAACAATCTTCCTTTGAATAATTGAAGCTTTAGACTAAGATGTGTATCACGCATATCCAATTAGAGATTACGATCCGTTTGAAATTCAAACTCAATACTGCTTTCATCCAGAGAAGTGCAGGGGAATACGTCTTGTGTGTAAGATGATATAACTGTTTCCAATAGTGGAAGTTTTTCAAAAATCTCCTATGAAGAATTTGTAAAAGCCCCGTACCAAAAAATAATTTGGTATTAACTCAACTTTTTTGTCAAAAGTGTCTTTGCGAGACCAACTGTTTTTCGTTCTACTTTTTCGAGAAATGGATCTGGTTCCACCTGTTCTACGTTTGTATTTCTTTTTTCAAACTCCCAACTGTTTTTGTTCCATAATCTTTTGCAAATTTTTTGAGTTTTTTCACGTCCACTAACAACTTCCCCAATTTTTGGAGCAGAGTTTTCAAACAAATCTGCGCCAATTTTTTCGCAGCTGGGACTATATATTTTTTAATAAAGGGGATTGCAGTTCTCCCAAGAGTTTGCGCGAGAGCTCCAAAACCTCTTCCACGTTGTCTTGCATGTCCTCGAAAAAAGGGAAATCAGCTGACTTTTGAGCAACCATTTCGATTGAAGTTTAAATCAAAAATGACTAATCGAAATCTTGCAGAACAAGAGAACAACTCGAATAACTCCTACGGACACAAAAACAATTTTTTCGCCGGTACTATTTCTTAGTTCTATCTTGATACTATGTAAATACTTTTTTTTTAGTTTTTCAAACTGTAAATTTGTAACAAAAAACTGATAATTCATATACTGTCCTGTAGAAGTTTTATCTCCACTTTTTATTTTGGAGATGAATGGAATACAACGCAATAATGGATTTTTTGTATCACCGGCTGTGTTATATTCTATAATATCACTATATATCACCAAAGAGTGTATTCTCATAATGTCGTAAGAATACTGAGGATAATGTGGTCCTTTTCTTTTCATTATAACACCTGTTTGATTTTGTTCTAAATCAATACCAAAAATGTGACTCGTGTCAGAACTTTGAATAATAACCACTGATTGATTCTCAGGTAAATGAACGACAAACTTTTGTGTAATTTTTTCCAT